CAAGAGCTGGACCATAAGGAAGGCTGAGCGAAAGAAGATAGGTGTTTTTGAACTGTGGTGCTGGAAAAAAATTCTGAGAGTTCCTTGGACCACGAGAAGATCAAAGCAGTCTATACTCCAGGAAATAATGCCCAACTGCGCACTGGAGGAGAGCGGGGTATAAAAATAAAATTATTATATTAGAGGCAAAACGTTGGCCACATAATGAGAAGACAGGAAAGCTTGGAGAAGATAACGATGCTGAGGAAAATGGAAGGAAGAGGGGCCGACAAAGGGCAAGATGGATGGATGTCATCCTTGAAGTGACTGGCTTGATCTTGAAGGAGTGACGACGGCCGACAGTGAGTTATGGTGTGGGTTGGTCCATGAGGTCATGAAGAGTTGGAAGCGACTGAATGAATAAACGACATCTTCCATTAATGTTTAAAATTCTAATGAAACTTTTTTTCTGTATTTCTTTTTATGCTTAGCTGTTTGGGTGCTCAATGTATTCAGAAGAAGCCTCAGGTCTGCTTATATATTAAGAATAAAAGAAGATGAGACCACTTAAATTTCAAAAAATGGATTTGTTAAGCTTCAGCAGTTCTATCATAATTTTTGACAAGCCCTTTCTACTATTCTTTCAGCTGGTTCGTGTTAAAAGTACTGCCAGCTGCTATCTCTTATATTCAGACTTGTATAGAGGACAAGTTGTTCAAACGTAAGTGTAAAACAACATATTTACAGAAGGAATTAAATTGTTTCTAGAACTTTATAGGTAGGATTAACTCAGCAGGCAATATTGCATATTTATGTCTGGGGTTCATCAGTCATAAGAAGAACTCCAGTTAACAGCAAAAATGGCAGTGCCATTCAACAAAAATGACATGACCTTGAGGTTTCTACCTTTTCCCCGCAAATCAGAGAATATCTATGCCTTTTTGAAAAGTTTTAGAATTAATGTATTTGTCATATTACAAATATACAAATCATATGGTCATAGTGGGGTTGTCTTTGAAGACTGTTCAAAAGCTTCAAATGGTCCAACGGACTGCAGCCAGGTTGCTCACCGGAGCAGCGTACACGGAGCATACAGCCCCCATGTTATGTCAGCTCCAGTGGCTGCCAGTCTGCTACCAAGCACAATTCAAAGTGCTGGCTGTAACCTATAAATCCCTAAACTGTTCCAGCCCAGCTTACCTGTCCCAATGTATCTCCTCCTATGAACCACCTTGGAGATTAAGATCGTCTGGAGAGGCCTGCTCTCGGTCCCGCCTCCCTCACAGGCGCGACTGGTGGAGACGAGAGATGGGGTCTTTTCAGTGGTGGCCCCTTGGCTATGGAACTCCTTCCCTAGTGATATTAGGGCAGCTCCCTCACTCCTGGCCTTCAGAAGGAAAGTGAAAATCTGTCTCTGTGGCCAAGCCTTTGGAGATGAACTACAGTGCAATAATAGCTCCGGAATTATTTGCACTGACTTTTGGAAAGGCCCTGGATTATGATTGTGGGTGGCGTGATTTTCAATAGTGATTTTAATGTTTTTTAACGTGCATTTAATTTTTAATCTTTAACTTAATGTATTTTAACTGTTTGTTGTTCAAAGGCATTGAATAGATGCCATATGCCTTGAGTACCCTTTGGGTAGAAAAAGGTGGGATACAAATAGGTCAAATAAATAAATAAATAATTTAATGGCGGGTGTTGTGATCTCTCCTCTGTCCTCAAAGCTCTTCCATTCATAAAAACTAAAAAGAAAAAAAACTCAGACATTCTTTGAAACAAATTTTGGATTTCAGAAGGGGCCTCGGGGCTAAGATTCCCTTTAGTAGACAACAGTGGTAAATCACACACATACACACAAATGCAGATAAACATGAATTTAACACCTAGCTTCAATCTAAAACAGCACCCTCCATTAAATCATTTACACAGCAGCATGAATATCAGTGCTTTTAATTGTTTTGTTTTCAAGTATCGTTTTCGAACGAGAGAGTGGTTTAAAAATCCCACTCTAAATAATTCAAAACCGTCTATAGCTCTGCAAGCATCGTATCGGTAATAAGCACAGAAGGATTCCAAAGCCCTAACAATAAAGAGTATAAATGAAGGCCTACTGAGTAAATGTAATCGCCTCTTGATTGTAAGGGCTAGGCATCATTCACTATGTGCTGAACTGAAGAGAAAGTCAAATGCATTTAAATCTAAGTTGCATTTGTTGATTTAAAAGTGGTCCAAGTGTGGTAAGACTGCACAGGAGGTAATGCCAGGTAATCATTCTCCCTGCCAACTGCACTCAGTAGCCTAAAAGCCCTTCTTCCTGGAGCCAAAATGTGTATGCCTAGATGCAGCTTTGTGTTTTTTTTTTAGTAATACAAATTGCAGTTGATGGGCTGGGGGTGCCAAATAATTAATGGAATTAAAGCTGGTTTGGAGGAAGACTCTCCTGAGGGGTGCATTTTGCCTTAAAACAAAACAAAACACATTTGAGGTATATTCTTCAGGAGCACATCAAGGGGTAAAAACAATACAGCCTGCTGGCTTCAGTGCTGTGCAGAAAGAACCAATCCTAAACTTGTAGTCCCAAATTTAAAGGACCCATTTAACTCTTTCCTGTTCAGCACCTCAGATAGAACCTTCCAAGTCTGGACTAAAAACCAGAACAGGTTCATTGCACCAGTGAGACAGAAGCCACTGGTGGCAGAAAATATTAAACTTCTCTATACTTGCTTTAATTTCATTAATTGTGCAGATATACGCATACCATATTCCTTCTTTTATATGTTTAAAATGTGCAGAGTGGATACAGAAATCCACTTAATATCATGCATATTTTGGGCTTCTGTTATTATTGCGGAATAATCACCTTTATTGTTTGACTGTTCCAAGGCTAAATCCTGGACTGCAAATACCTTGTAGATTAATCTCTGAGGTCTAATGAAGTTGACCTAAGACTTATCATATCAGGGTATTAAATTGGTTTCTATTAACAAGTTTTTAAAAGTTTATTTTAAGTTCTGCAGATGTCATAGTAAAGTTGTTTAACACTATATGTAGTCAGTGCAGTGATACTGTATTTACTCGTGTATAAATCTAAAAAAATTAACAAAAAAAAAAACACCCCCGCAAAAAAATGGAGTTATCAATGGGAGTATGTAAATTCTAAACTCTTATCAAAAAGGAGCCATCTTCTTCTCTGCGCTGATAGTGAAAGGTCAAGGTTTATTCGATCTTGAGAATAAAGAAAGCACAGATCCTGTCTGCTCTTGCTATGTACCATTTTTGGTCTTTTTTAATTCCTGGATGGAAAAATGACATTGGCAGGCAGGGCTGGCTAGTCTCCTGCTAGCATGCCTCCCTCTGAGGAATGACACTCAACTTGTTCTTCAACCATATAAAAATCTATAATTTTGGATCCCAAACCTGCCCTCAACTTATATATGAAGTCAACCTATACTCGGGTATATATGGTAGTTTAATTTTGTTTGTTTTTGTATTATGTCTGTATAATCTGCTTTATAATTGTTATGTATATTTTTATATTTGTATTGCTCTATCATTCCCCTCCGTCTGCACATGTGTATATTTTAGATTGTATGCTGGCTATTTTTGCTGTTATTTTATTCTTAAAATGCTTTGTGCATTAATGGTGACACATAAATAAATGGTGACAACAAGTCCTGTTGCTGTTAGTATGTTTGCTGGAAAGCATACCTTTCCTTTTTTTGCTTCTAGATAATTTTTATTACCACTGGAAATATTTCACCCTGCTAGCTAGCTACTTCTAACTTAATTGAGAAAATCAGTGCAGCAACGATAACTTGCCGCAGTGGGATTTGTTCCAAAGTTGATTTTAAAAATCCTCTTATTTCAGAGAATCTAGAGGTGCCATTTTCTCTCATGTTATTAATTTGAAGGATTTGCAGCAGCAGTGTTTGAAATGCGGTAGCAAGAGACTTAAGGGTGGGCATATATTACAAATAATATAACAAATATCAGAATAGGTCTACAGTTCATGCAAGAGTTCATGCAAGAGGAAATGCAATTGCATCCTCCCTGTTGTGTTCAGTAGGTGGTGGTTCTCTAGGAGATAATATATAACCAATAGTGCTGATTAATCCATTTTTCACTTCTGGGAAGGATCAGGAGTATCAACCTTCAGCAGCCTCCTTGCCTGCTTGCCATTTGACAAATTTGCTGCGTTCTTTATTGTACAGACAAAGTTCATATCCACCAGCCATGTTCTTTATGCCCCTTTAAAGCTAAGATGACTATTATTGGGTTTTCACACTTCATTTTCAAGCTGAAGGACATACAGTGCCATCTTTGTCACTTTAATCCTGCTGGTTAGGCCCATTAGTTAGTTGCTGCATCAATATGTAGGAAAATCAAATGAATACATTCACTAAACTAGTTAGGACTAACAATAGGGTTTAATCTTATGCTTCCTAATTATTCCGATTTGCCTTAAGTATGTGTTTGTGTGAAAAAAATTTTTGTCGATAACTGTAGCTATTTCTGTTTAAAGTCAGTATGAAAACTTCTGTAAAAGGTAGTGGCTGATGATAGCTCACTTCCTGCTTTTGTCTGAAAGACAAAATAACCAATTATTGCAGAAAACAGAAGGAATGGTGTACATACGTCCAATATATCTTTGGCAAGGATGAGCTTGTATGTTTGGCAAGCTTGTATGCAGTGATATCTTCTATCCCAATGATATGCAACACAAACAATGCAATGCAAAATAGGTCTCCGTTTACACACAATGCATCAGGAAAATAAAAGGACAGCTAGAAATTCTAGTAGAAAACAGTGGCATGCAAACCAATCATGGTGGAAGCCCCTTCCTCATAGTAGACAGTGTTTTAGGATTGCAGTGTCTTTTACTTTTGATGGATATGAGCGATGGAATGTTGAAAGGGCTATTGCTGCCTTTCACAGTATTTATTGATTCCAGAAAGCTGTGCTATCAATTTAATTTCAAGATTGATTTTCAATACCTTCTGGTGTTGTTTTTGTAACAGTCACAAGGAAGGTGCATTGAAGATTCTTCCCTGGAATGAGCAGAAGCATAGAGAGGAAGACTGGTGTGAGATGCCCCCATGCAAGTAAGTGTTTCTGAGTTGTGTTCATGCACATATGTGTAAGTTGACTTTGGCATTTGCTTTAGTGAATTTTATTCAGCATCTCTCCTCTGATATAGTAGGCCAAACTACCCATGGAGGAATTCTCAATAAAAAAGTGTATTCTGATTCTCTTGTGGGTTGGGAAATACATGGCATATCTTCTCTTGTGAGAGAACAGGAAGCTCCAGAATGCGCTGTGTTCTGACCTGTGGCTACGAAGTACATTCAGCAGTGTTGAACACATGAACAAATCTGTCTAGATACTCAAATGAATTCTTCTAAACATAGCTGTGTTAAATTCTGAGCCAGTGGGGGAGTGATTTAAGGTTCAAATCCCCTTTTAGTCATGGAAACCCACTGGGTGACCATTGGTGAGCCACACTCTCAGCTTCAGAGAAAGGCACTGGTAAACCCCTTTAGAACAAATCTTTCTAATTCATGCCTGTATAGGGTCAAATCTGTTTTAAAAGTATACAGGAATAATTCATTTTCTTTATTGTGTCAGAAGCAAATTGAGAATGCAGTTATAATATATAAAAAACCACAAACAAAGTTAAAAACTTGGCATTATGCTAAATTTTCTTTGACCAGAAGCTGTCCTCTGGTGTCTCTGTAAGCAACAATAATGTGTTTATAGATCTTCTTGGCACATGGAAATGGGTATTTATTTATATACCACTAAAGGATTTTTATACTTAAAGCACTGCAACAAGATTTGTGTATATATATCTACAATTACTGATCCTTCAATAAGGTTAATTACTCTGGGATGGTAACTCTGATACTGATTTTTGTGTGTGTAGCATTCCACATTGGATTAAAATGCCAATGTGCAATGCTGTGCTAGAAATACCACTTCAACTTAAATTTTTCTCCCCTCTTTTTTGTTACTTTTTGATCAAGGTAGAACTAGTTATCATTTAACTTCATTTTGGAAAGGCCATTGCCCTAAATGGTTCTGGCTTTGATATTAGTTTGATTTTAAACTACACTACTTCAGATCTGAAAGCCCTTTTCAAAAAATCCTTTTTCAGCCCAGCTGCCTGAGTTATGTGATATTGTACTTTTTTAACTGATCTATATTGCCTGTGCTTCATTATGGTCAGCACGTTTTCAATGTAACCATTAGTGTTGCTTGATGTGATTTTAACCTAACAGGTTTCTATACTTAGCATTTGTTTATTACCCAGGCTCATTGTTGAACCAGCTCTTCAAGATGAAAGTGAATTTTTGTATGAGTCCCAGCCTGAATTGTTGAAATATTCAACTACTGAGCTTTCAGTAAATCTGGTCACAGATTGGTACTGGAAAAGAGCAGAGGAGATAGAGCACTATTCAATGCAGGTAAATGCAAGATGCTAGATATAATTGTACTGCCATGCTCTCAAGCATCCTCTTTCATACAACTGAGCAAGGGAGTTTATAGAAACCCATTCTGAATGTGTATTTGAATATCAGACACACTTCCGCTTACCTTTTGAATCTGTATGTAGAGCACATGTAAATAATAAAGGAGCCACCCATAACTAGATGTTCTCCAGCTGTTTTGAACTACAGTTGTAAACCAAGACATTTGTTTGAGCACCAGATTGGGTAAGGTGGCTACAAAGGAACACAGTTGTATGTAACATTGTCTCTTTGGTTCACGTATCATGTGATTGAAATACTTTCTGCTAAATGGTACCTAGTCTTTATGGTATCTGACTGGTATCTGAAGGTGAAATCTGTTTGTATGGGAAAATGCCAGGAGGTTTGTGTTTAAAATAGATTAAGCTTCTTTTTTGTACACTACTTGAAACCATAGAGAAGTATTATTGTTGGCTAGAGCATTTCTTTGGCTTTCACCAGTGAAAGACTGGTGTCTTTGACAAAGAGACGCATTCCACTAAGGAATGTGCATTCATCAAGGTCTGCCCTACTATTTGTCACAGTAAGCTAAACATTTAATCTTGCTGCATTTGAGGTATAGGAGCAACAGCTTCTGAATTTTCTAGCCATCACTCTTTGTTGTACACAGTGGACACTAAAATAGTCAGCCATCCTCTGTGAAAGATGTCTTCACCAGAAGTGTAATCTTCATCTTGGAGTCAAGTAACTTCTTGTGTGTGGAATATATATAAGGTCTACTTCAGGGATTCTCAACCTTCCTAATGACGTGACCCCTTAATACAGTTCCTCTTGTTGTGGTGACCCCCCCCCCCCCAACCATAACATTATTTCCGTTGCTACTTCATAACTGTAATTTTACTACTGTTATGAATCATAATGTAAATATCTGATATGCAGGATGTATTTTCATTCACTGGACCAAATTTGGCGCAAATACCTGATATGCCCAAATTTGAATACTGGTGGGGGTTGGGGTGGATTTTGTCATTTGGGAGTTGTAGTTTCTGTGATTTATAGTTAACCTGCAATTATAGAGCATTCTGAACTCCACCAACGATGGAATGCAACCAAACTTGGCACACAGAACTGCCATGGCTAACAGAAAATACTGGAAGGGTTTGGTGGGCATTGATCTTGAGTTTTGGAGTTGTAGTTCACCTACATTCAGAGAGCACTGTGGACTCAAACAATGTTGGATCTGGATCAAACCTCCAATCAAAAAGCATTCTGAACTCTGTCAACGATAGAATTGGGCCAAACTTCCCACACAGAACCCTCAGACCAACAGAAAATACCGGAGGGATTTGGGAGGGATTGCAAGTGATTGAAGGGAGAGCATGCCTGCTCTCCCCTCCACCTCTTGGAGTCTCAGAAACAGCTCTGCCCTTGGCTGAGAGGCCTGCCAATCAAAGCAGGGGAAGGGCCTTTGGTGTGAAGATTCGCAATCCTTTCACAGACTCTCTTATTTTGAGACTTGAGATGGCCTTTATATAATCCTGCCTCACATGCCTGTTGCCTCGGTGTCCTGGGTTTGCACAGCTCAGAACAGGAAGAAGGGATGCCAGCTGTACTTGCACATATAGCCCTATTTAACATTTGGCATGCTGTCAGCAGCAACTCTTTGGTGCTGTCCTGTCTTGGTGGAGAGTGTAGAAAACATTGGTCCTTTTTTAAGGTGCCCCCAGGGTAGACTATAGGTTGTTATTGATTGTTAATTGCATTGTGGTTCTATCTATGATAACTGTTTTAATTGTTTCAATTATGATTGTCATTTTGTATAACTGTAATTGTATGGGCGCGGAATGGTGCCTCGTTGTGTAAGCCGCCCTGAGTCCCCCCTGGGGGGTGAGAAGGGCGGGGTATAAGTGCCGGAAATAAATAAATAAATAAATAAATAAAGTTCCTTAGCTTCTGGGTTACTGATGAGTTAGCAAATGCAAGATTACACTTCCCCTCCTTCTCTTTGCTAGGCCACCTTCCATCAACCATTGCTGCTGTTGCGGCCTCTGCCACTGTCCCCTCCTCAGTTGGTGAGGCCCTGCACTCCTGTTGTGGCTCTTTCTTTGGCTCTGGTGGTAGCATGCTCTTCTCCTTTGGCTCCTAGTCAGCAGGATGGCATGTAGGTCTCTTTCAGAACTGTTGTTGCTACAGACAGCTCACATGGCTGTAACCCTGGGCTCGGTCTTGACCTAGGAACCAGAGAGGTACGTACTATTCTAGACTGGAGGACCTAGAATAGGAGTGTGAAGGTGAGGCCACACCCGTTGATGAGTGGACAGTGGCACCAGCATGATAAATTTGATACACACACATGGGGTATGTGGCATTTAATGTGACCCAAAGGCATGATGTCAGTCCCCAGACCCACAGAAATTGCAGATCCACAAAGTAAACCTTTTCAGATCTCTTCTGAATTCACATATTAGAATTATTAAGGTAATTTGCAAAATATTTATGTACTAGAACTTACCTCATTGACTTAACTACCACTTTTGAACTACTATGTGATAAATGTTCTACATCCCAATGGCTGTAATTCCAGAGTTTTTAAAAATAACCGTGTAAGTCAGTTGTGAATAAATAAATAAAAAGCTTTCTGACTTACTGAAGCTTTTCTATCACTATAAACTTAATTTGCAGGCTATTTTTATCCCCTGGCTAATTACTAGAAGTACATTAAGTTGAAGTAAGCTTCTTTGAAGTGTATGCAAGCAGAACGCATGTTGGATTTTGTTTTTTGTTGCTTCATGATCATATTTATTCAAGCAGGAGAGATTGGCATCATATAGCAATATATTCAAATTTTATGAATATCTGTTGTTACTGCTGATTTTGCCTTTTACCTAACTATTCCGATCTTCATAGTTATAGGGAAATAGAAAAAAAATCTTAAAGATAAAATGGGAAGTCAATGGATATATCAAGTCATTATTCTCTAGCTCCCATCATCTTGAGTGATGTATATGTTAAATAGTGTTTGGGCTGAACTAAACTAGAATTTCTGAAGGTCTTCAATTCAAATGTAGAGATAATTAATTTAGGAACGGGATTATACAGTCTTTTATTTGGTTGTCTCTACCGTATTGCTGGGCATACATATATGCATAAAACATTTGAATATAATTACTGGATAGATGCCATCTTGTTGTTCTGCATTAAGTTCTACCCTGAATTTATTTTTCTAGTTAAAATATTTTTGTATTGCCTCCCAGTTGACAAGCCCTCCTGAGCTGATAAACAAATATTAAAACAATACAAAGAAAAAACACATTAAAATATTATTCTAAAATCCCCAAAAGCTAACTAAACACAATCCTACAATCCAGTTTTAAAACAGTTAAAAAAACAATGTCAAATATGAAATACCACTGTTTTGGCTACCTGCTTGAAGCTTGAAATAGATGGAGCCAGCTAACCTCCTTCTACAGGGATGGTTACAGGGAAAGCTCTATTATGTGTATCCCCCAGCTTAACTTCATGAGGTGTTGGGACATGCAATGGGGGCTCATATGGGAGTAGGCAATGAATGAACAACAACAAAAATGCTCACATGGCTATGCATTCTGTGCCAGCTACGGCTTCCTAGCACTTTTCAAGGTTAGCTCCATTAAGAGCACATTGTAGTAATCTTAAGTGAGAGGTAGCTTAGACATGACCTATGTTCAAAATCAGGTTAACCAATGAACCTAAACACCAAACACGTTCCCCATTTATTTGAAATGGACTGTCAATTATTCCCATGAGTTCTGCTATTTGAAGACAATATATTTGAAGACAGTTTGTTACTTTCTCCACCATTAGTATTTATGTATTACTCTGTGGAGGATGTGGAACTTAAGAGTGAAATTCTGTAGAACTCACAGCATCTCCATGCAGCACAGTCTAATGACATTTAGATGGCTGTGTGACTCCCAACTGTGCTTTACATGAACAGAAGTTACTGTGCTATTGCAATGCACATACATTGGGTTGTGAAATGTATGTAATTCTTTATTTTGGTGGTAGTGAGGAATCACTGATTCCATGAAACTTACATAAGTGTATACTCACCAAGTTACTGTTGATTCAGTGAACTGTGTTTAAATTCTTGACTACAACTCTTTATCTGTCCCTGATAACTCAGACTACAGGGTTAAATTTAAGAGGTAGATGAAATATTGTTGGTTGCATTGGTGCTAGGTGGCTCTCAATACTGTTCCATGACACTGGATTCACTGTCATGGAACAGTGAATCCAGTCCAGCTTTTTATTTAAGCTATTTGAAATTCTCAATACTATTCCTAAATAAATTCAGTACTTCTAATATCTTCTTCAAAGCTAGACAAAACCTGGAGTGGATTCAGTTTCCCACTGATATGAGAGTCACTAGATTAGTGGTTCTCAGCCTATGGGTCCCCAGATGTTTTGGCCTTCAACTCCCTAATAGTGGCCTTCAAATCCTAATAGTGGGGCATACTGACTGGGATTTCTGGGAGTTGAGGCCACAACATCTGGGGACCCACAGGTTGAGAACCACTTCACCAGATGAATGTTAACCAGAAGTGAGATTGTTTGTAGTTTGAATTGAAGTGTGCAATGGTTCATACAGATAAATCTCATTAGTCTTAAGAGAGTTATAAGACTTTAATTGTTCATGTTTTGATACTTAGGTTCAAGACCTACCTCTCTCTCTTTCTAAAAATATAGGTGGACTGTGCTCTCTCTCTGATTCGCCTTGGCATGGAAAGGAACATCCCTGGCCTCCATTCCCTCTGTGACAATCTTGTTACATTGGAGACACTTGTTTATGAGACAGGGTGCGACATAACTTTGAATCTGAAAGAGCTGCAACAGATGAAAAACATTGAGAAGCTGAGGCTGTTGATGTTGACTGTAAGCATTCATTTCTTTATTGTAATATATTGGGTTGCATTGGATCGGGATATTTCTGTTGTGAAATGAAATTTCATTCTTTAGAAATGAACTCCTGTAATCACTAAACATAACTGGCTTATTTTATTCAGGATTTAGACTCAGTGTCTTGACAGTGCCCTGAATGTTGTTTCAAGGTTTCACAATAAACCACTCTGATTTGGAACGTTTAAATACACTAACACATGTGCAAGATTGTGTCCTGATTGATATTCTAATTGAACAGTTCAATGTCAGTCATTTCATCTGCATTCCAGTCTCAATGATTTAGTGGAATAGTTAGTGGAATAGAAATTGCATAGAAGCCCCAAAGGATTGTTAGCATCCCATCAGGTAAAGATTCCTTATCACATCCTCTGTAAATCAACTTTTTGTATGTCACTTGTGGCGACTTCCTGTACTGCTCTAACAACTTGTCACTCCCATAAAGTGAACATAGACTGGATCTACACTGCACTATATACCAGGATCCAATCCCAGATTATCTGCTTTGAACTAGATTATATGAGTCAACACTGCTAAATAATCTGGGATAAGCAGATAACCTGGGATCTAGGGCAGTATATATCCAGCCATAAGAGGCCACGGTGACGCAGTGCTAAGCTCCAGAACTAGCTGACTGGAAGGTTGGTGGTTCAAATCTGCAGGACAGGGTGAGCTTCTGTGGTAGGCCCAAGCTTCTGCCAACCAAGCAGTTCAAAACATGCAAATATGGGTAGATCACTAAGTATCTCTTTGGTGGGAAAGTAACGTCGCGCCATGCAGTCATGCTGGCCGCATGACCTGGGAGGCATCTACAAACCATACCGGCTCTTCTGCTTAGAAATGGAGATGAGCACCACCCCCCAGAGTCGGATACAACTAGACTTAATGTCAAGGAGAAACCATAGTGTATTGTGTAGGTTTGTTCTTCTATATAATGATCTGAAAACATTCATTTAATGCTGAGTATATGTTCTGTTTTTATGATTCCTTTAAATATTATTATTATTATTATTGTAATCATGTAATCACTGTAATGGTTGTGATTATAATGATTACTTTTTATCTTGTAATTTAGTTGAAATAATGATGAAAATAGCTGGAAGCAATGGTGAAATCTATTAAAATAATCACAATAATCAGTAAATATCAAAACCTTGTTTGAAGAAATAAGATGGGAAAGATGTTCATTTTCTAACAAAGCAATTTCTGTCAGCACAGTTTGCAATTTAAGATAGCAACATCTTAAGTGGTACTAGAAAAAAAAGTTTGATTTTGTGCCATTTTAGATTCTTTTGAAATTTCAGCCAATTTATAATGTTATTTAAATGTGGTCCTCTTCTTAAAATGTGTTCATTTTTTCCTTAAAATAAAACTACTGACATTTCAGTCATCAGAAGACAAGTATGTGAAAAATGCCTACCAGTGGATGGTTCCCTTTCTACATCGCTGTGAAAACGAGTCTCCAGGCATTGCTAATGAGCTTTTAAAAGAGTACTTGGTAACACTGGCCAAAGAAGACCTGACATTTCCTCTGAAAATCTTTCAGCATTCAAAGCCAGCGGTAAGTTCAGTTTATTCATTGTGGATTTATGTACCTGAAAGCTTCACCTCCGTCCCTCACGCAAATTACATTTGCAAAAACATTTAGTGGTGTTCCTTGTTTTACTGATCGTTTCTGAAGATGTCTGCCATTGTACTGCATTTTGGGACTAAGCATTTATCTTTTCAATGCTAACACTTGTACTCTAAACAAGGTTACAAAGGCATTTCTATTACACAACTAATCCCTATCAGGATGTCAGAATGCACCTTCAACCATTAATCATTCCTACAACAGAGTGGGTAATTTTAGCTCAGGAGGAATCTCTGCTGAATGTCACTTCAGTGTTGATCTTCTGTAATGTTTAATCTTTTTTGTTTTGTTATAAAGCTCTTCTCCACTTCTTCCCCCTGCCAAACACCTGTACAGATGTTATGTTTTTGACTGTGCTGAAATGTCACTGTTAAGCTTCTGCACATTATTCTCATTCCCTTTGAGGGGATGGGGCTGTATGAAACACCCTAGAGATGTATATAATTTCAGTAATTCAGGTTTATCAAAATCCCAAGCCTGCAGTTTGGTAGCAGGAGGTGTATTTGTACAGAGCAGATAGGAGCCCCCGGTGGCGCAGTGGGTTAAACCCCTATGCTGGCAGGACTGAAGACCGACAGGTCGCAGGTTCGAATCTGGGGAGAGGCGGATGAGCTCCCTCTATCAGCTCCAGCTCCTCATGCGGGGACATGAGAGAAGCTTCCCACAAGGATGATAAAAACATCAAATCATCCAGGCGGCCCCTGGGCAACGTCCTTGCAGACGGCCAATTCTCTCACACCAGGAGTCACTCCTGACATGACAAAAAAAAAAAACCCAGAGCAGATGCAAAATAATAATAATAATAATAATAATAATAATAATAATAATAATATAAAAATGGATACTAGAATAGCAAAGCTTTTCAACATCTACATGAAACTGTTGGGAGAGGTCATCCAGAGTTTTGGAGTTTGGTACCATCTCTATGCAGATGACACTCAACTCTACTACTCCTTTCCACCTAATTCCAAGGAAGCCCTCCGGATCCTGGACCAGTGCCTGGCTGCTGTAATGAACTGGATGAGGGCTAACAAGCTGAAGCTTAATCTGGACAAATCAGAGGTCCTTCTGGTCAGTTGTGAGGTCGATCGGGTATAGGGTGGCAACCTGTGCTTGATGGAGGACCGCAGTTTGGGGGTCCTCCTGTACTCAGCACTGGCACTTGATGTTCAGGTATTGGTGTTGGCCGGGAGGACATTTGCACAGTTAAAATTTGTGTGCCAACTGCGACTGTACCTCGAAAGCCTGACTTGGCCATGGTGGTCCACATCTTGGTCACATCTAGATTGGATTACTGCAATGCACTCTACATGGGGCTGCCTTTGAAGATGACCCAAAAATTGCAATTTGTGCAAAGGTCGGCAGCCAGGTTGTTAACTAGAGCTAGTTACAGGGAACAGACAACGTCTCTACCAGTGCAAGTGCTGAGATCTGCTGGGGAGGCCCTTCTCTCACTCCCACCTCCATCACAAATACAGTTGGTGGGGACAGTCCCCCCTCGATGGACTGTCACCTTGTCGTGGTGAGGGGGCTTGCGCGTTCCAATGAACCTGTAGGCACAACAACTGGAGTCGTGCACTCCCAGGAGTGGCCGCGGGGGAGGTTCCAGACCAAGCACAGTCTGAAGACCCAAAGACCTCAACGGCGGAGCAGGCGGAGGATAACATGGCACATGTTACAACGGCTGCGAAGGAAGAAGGCTGCAACAGACTGAGAAGCCACGGTCATTGTGTTAAACTACATCACCAGTGGAACCTCACTCTGTGAAGTCTGTGTGTTGATCAGTTGTGCACTGACCTCCACACATTAAAAAAAAACCCACGCACAGGCGTCTTCCAAAGAAAATAAAAACAAACCAACCAAAGTCCCATGGCGATCAGCGAGTGGCGACGGGGGCAGGACTGTGAAATCTGGAAGCCCCTAGTCACAGACTGGCACATGAGCGGTGGGTACGGATTCAGTCATTCTACCTCAAGGTGTGAGGCAGTTGAGTAGTTCGGCAGCTGTATCCATGACTGAGCAGCCCTTTTGAGGATCCACTCTGCTCACCCCACACGGGGAGGGGGCTAGAAAAAGTGCCCTAAAGTGCCCTCTCTCATCCCTGACTGGACTGCCGCGTCCAGTG